ACACGTCGCCGTGGGCCCAGTGGGTGTGTGTGGATGCTGGTAACGGCAAAATTGCACTGCAAGCCGACAGCGGACGCTACTTGGCCAGGTGCGAGGGCTGCATTCCTGGAGCCTACCCTACCCTACCCAAACACGGCCTTTGTGCACGCCACTTCCGTCTCGGAGCCATATGCCCAATGGGCAGTCGTGTCCCAAAATCCGTCTGCCGGGCTTTGTAGCTAGCTTAAGAAAAGCGCTCACAAGCTAAATGTAATCTACTCTACTTGGCTATGTCATATTTTCGGATGTTGCCCAAATGGTGAAAACCTGATTATTGGTCAGTATCAGGAAGAAATATGGAGTGAGCCAATCAAAATCCAGAATTCGGGAAAATCACAGTTCTCATATGTCCGAGAAACTTGAAATCCCATATTGCATGGTTTTTGCTGGACAACACCCATCCCTACTACCTACCTACCACCACTTGCATTCCAACATTAGCCCCTGCCCCATTACTGTACCAAGCACCACTACCACGACGGCAGCCCCTGCGACTGCTACAGATGCACCCGGTACCACTAAATATTGATGATTTGAAGTAAATAGGTGATCGACAGGGATCACCCTGTCATTATATATGAAACCGTCGAACTAAAAGAAAGAGGTGTGGTGATTGCGATTGACAAGTAAGTGCTCGTGTGACCTGGCCTAACATTGACCTCGAAAGAGTTGCAACAACGAGAAGATTTGCAACAACTATCGTTAGCCCGACGTTAGCTGCATTAGTTAGCATATTGCACTTGCTGCGTCTATGCCAACTTTGCTCGTGCGTGGCGGTCGTCTTCATTGGACTCCATGGCCGCTTTCGTCGCTGCATCCCAAGCGAGATATCCTGTGACGATATCTGGCATGGGGAGAGTTTTCTGCGTGCCGTCCAGCCCAAGTTGAGCCAACACTTGTGCCAATCGACCGTGCGGCGGTGAGCGTCCTTGATGATCACTCGCGTAATACCTAGCCAGACGAGGTGACTACTGTAGTATTACACTCCTTGTACGAACCTTCGGCGAAGAACGTGTCAGTGACAGGACATTCAAAGCGATGGCAAAAGAAGAACCACGTGTCGTCCCAATACACCACTTGGGAATGAATGGAATATGCTGTCAGTGGCGGTGGCGGAATCTCCCGACGGTACCAGATCATGTTGGACCCTGCTAACACACTCCACTTGTGTGTGAATCCGGTTTGCAGCAACCTACACTGGTTATCCCAATCTGCTCCAAACTCGTGGCTAACCTACACATCAAACGTATTTACACTGCTGCATGCCATTGAGCAAGTTCCATGTTCGCCGCAACCGCCGCGTTGTTGATGTGCGGCGCGAGCCCGAGGTCCAGCAGACCCACGCGTGCCTTTCAAACATGTGGCCGAAGGAGACCCACGTCATTCAGCGAGTGTTTCGTTGGGTGCGTGGCTCTCTGTAGCACGGACACGTCAATGTTCCACAGGATTCGCGCTACCATCCTTCGAGGATAAGGTGGAGGTAGGACTTTGACATTGGCTCTGTGTTAGCCAATCACCCGTTGTGACTGGCTGGGTTGACTCATTACAGTACTGAAGGCAGGTCACTACTGGTACCTGCCTTCAACATTATTATTTCTGGTGGTTCAGAGGATAAGGGCACCAGTCTACTTAGACTTTTGCAATGGCAGGCAGCAGCTACTAGGAGTAGGCGATGCGGACGGATCATGTTACATTAGACCTCTTGCCACACTACTGTACTCATACTACGTACGTATTAACAGTAATAACAAATATGCTTCTTCGAAGTAGTACTGTATAGTACTTCTAAGTTAGTAGTAGTACAGTAGTAAATAGAAATAACGATACTTCTTAAATTACTGTATTATTAATACACCTTTTTCCGGTTAATTTGAGGATCTCACCATACTTTTCGCGAAATGAACAAGCAATTCGCGGCGGTCCCACTTCGTTCGATGCATATTCGTTATATTTCGCCTGTAACGTTATATTTCAAGCGACATTCCTTATATTGTATGTGCTCAATTCAGCGAGTGACATAAGTACTTTTCGGGATGCAATCCATATATTTCGAGCGAAATACTGTCAACCGAAGTTATCACGGGCTATCGCTAATTCGTCAAAACGATGGACGATGAAACAAGCCCCTCCCGCAGCGCTTGCCACACCAGTACGTTCCAACACATACCATATGTACCTAGTTGACGTGTTCATAGCCACGCCGCCGTGGCAAGAACAAAAAAACATCAGAGAATGAGCGAAAGCCCGCGAGATCCTCGGTTGACAGTGATTGCTTTCTATTTCGCTCGAAATATATCGATTGCATCCCGAAAGGTATTGAGCCACTCGCTGAATTGAGCACATACAATATAAGGAATGTCGCTTGAAGTATACTGCAACCTTCTTGGTTGCAGGCGAAATATAACGAATATGCATCGAACGAAGTGGGACCGCCGCGAATTGCTTGTTCATTTCGCGAAAAGTATGGTGAGATCCTCAAATTAACCGGAAAAAGGTGTAGTATAAGAGTACTGGCACTGCAGGTCGTATTATTAATAATAGTACTTACAGTTAATACTATTTGATCAATTTCCGACTGGAATAAATACTTCGAAGTATATATTTTTGAATTACATTAGCAGTATTCTGGTGTAAATCCAAAATATAATTTAACACTAAATAGAACGCAATGGAATGCTCGAGGCAATTTTACTCGACCAGCATCACGAAGTATAACATTGGCACTTGAGTCATTCGATAAATGAAACGGAATTCCAACACGGATCTAGCCATCTATGACGGAGCATGTTCGTGTTAAAACTTGGGCAAGTTGACGCTTTGGAGAAGTTTGGGGGTATTGGTGTCGATGTGCTCGGTGGGGTTCCACGCGGCCGTGCTGGCCTTTGTGGCGGCATCCCATAGCAAGAACGTCTTCACAACGTCCGGAACATCCTTGGGAGCTGGTGCGCCCAGTCCCATTTGCTTGGCGACGTCCACAAACTTGATGGTCTTCCGGTTCGAATCTTTTACCATGCCTCGAGTCAACCCTACGTTTTTTTCGCTCTGAGTTCGGCAAAGGCACAGTGTCTACTAATGGACCCACCTTCGGCAAACAGTTTTCCTGTTGCGGGGCACACAAAGCGATGGGAGAAATAGAACCACTGGTCGTCCCAATACACAATGTCCGAGTGGATCTCGTACGCTTGAAACGGCGCAATCGAGTGGCGGTAGCGAATGCTCTGGGAGCCCACGAGAAGCATCCACCGCTTCGTGAAGCAGAAATGCAACATCCCGCTAAGCCTACATACAAGACGTGAGATCCCAGTGACGTTGGGTGACGGCGTAGTACCCAGACAAGTGCCACCGCGCGAGCTCCATGTTGTACAGGTACGACGCGTTGTTCAAGTGAACGTTCAAGTCCATGTCCAGTAGTCCCACGCGGGCCTTCCACACATGTGGCTTTATGAGCCCGATGCCGTCCAGCTTCGACTTGTTCGGTGTCAACGCCCTCGTGAGCATGGATACGCCAATATTCCACGCCGCCCGCGCCATGATACAGTACCCGAAATGGTTGTGGCTGGATTTTTTAGGTTGAGTCAACAGTATTTCCTTTAATTGTACTTTGAAGTATTTGATTGGGTAAAAGTAAGATCCAATCATCCGATGCGTTTGGGTTGCCAACATGCACTTCAAGTTCGTGGGAATTTTGGCGCACTGGACAACGTAGCTTTTGCGTCAACGTTAGGACAGGGCTCAGTGCTTGTACGTCAACCTTGTGTTGTGAGCAAGCGTTATTGTCTTGAGACCGGTAAGGTAAGATCATATTCACCCATTCAACAGGTAAGTACACTGTACACTACGGTAGTACTGAAAGTATTTCACAGTGTGAATTCACGACGCAACCACCACAACGCGAATGCTCTCGTTGCTTCAACGGGTGCTAACGACCAAAACGTACAAAAATTAACTGTGCATGTTGGTTTGGTTTGGAGTTAGATCGCACATGTTCCTTGTCGAAAACTTGGCATTGGCCACGTACGCTTCGAGGTCGGCTACGAGTGCGCGGACGTCGTAGTACAAATCCAAGGCGTTGCGTTTGCTGGTGGTATTGCCCAAACCCTTCTTGCTCCAGCACTCGGCCATCGCCCAGTTGGTGGTCGAAGCGGCCGGTGAAGTATCCGTCGGTTTCCAGTGAAACGACGACGTGTTGTTGCGTACACTTGTATGTCCTTCCATGTCCATCCAAATCGACAGGCTCCCGTGAGGATTTCACGGTTTGGGATGTCGTCCACTTGATGCTCGTTCACCCACGACGATGTGGCTCCATCGCTGTTGTCGTCAGCATTCTGTCTGGGCACGGCTGCTTCTTGATGCCATTTCGACCGAAGGAGTTGGTCGAAGTGTCTTTGCACTGGGCTAGTGCTCTCACCACTTTCTTCTTCTGTTTGCACAGAAGCAGACAAGAACGTCTTGAGGCATTTGTCGAATGCGCTAGAATCCACCAAACCGCCCTGTGTCATGGTCGTTATCGATGCAGAAGGACGGTGATGAGATCCTTCTGGAGCTGCAATTGACGATGCGATGGCTGTGGCCTCTCGCGAGCTGAAGCCGCCGCTACCATCCGACCCTCGTGTAGCTTGCTGTGTTGTCATCATGTAATTTGTAATTTTTCCAATATTGATTCGTACGGACTGAAGGCACGGCAAACAGCGTAGTGGTGGATTTCGTCGGACTCTGAGACATGATTTACAACACAAATGGCACTTTTGTCGGGGTGTGGAACTGATGGCAGGCCACGTGGTCAAGTGACACGGTTGACACCAGGTTGCCACTACCAAGATCGTCGGACTTGTACAGATAAAGTTGACACACGCCAATACCAGCGGGAGGTTTGATCACGCAAAACCGAGGCTGCCACACATTGGAGAACAACAGACCGGAGACACGTTGTTGTAGCCATCCTATGTGCGCTACCATGGTCGACAACGGCTATGATACTTTGGTGCCCTTGGACGAAGTAGCGCTGCTCACACTCAATCGCTCCTCGTGCAACGACCCAACGGCACTCATTTGCAAGGCTGCGTTTCAACGATGAACCGTCACGAATAAAGTCGGAGTTCGAGTCTCCTTAATCAAGTACCATGCCATTTATGGTTCAGTTTGCCTTGAACAAGTCAATGCAAACAACCCCTGGATAAGCTGAACGGTACGGTAGAACCTGCGCTCGTATATAGCAGTCGCATAAGCTCCATCTACTAGCAAATGGCAAAATCCTGTATTGCTGCTACACTAGTTCTTGAGGTTCATCATCAAGTAATACACTGATTGGTCCATGAAGTTTATTATCATCAAGCGACTCGAGGCGCAAGATGCACACTTGGTGTTATAATATTATGCTCAAATGCATTTTAACTTGTCTGTGCATTACTGTTAGTAGTTAACAGTAAGCTTACATAAAGGTTGTTTGGAGCTTGTGTTATGTACCGCACGTACTGTATGCTTTGGACAGGTCTAACTAATTATTCCTAATCAAATCGCAAGATAATCGGTTTCATTGAAACCGCTTGACAACTTGAATAAGGTAGAATGGTCATCTCCTGCTAAGTTCGACTCAGACTGTTTTCGAACTTACGACGCCAATCGCATTGCTTGGAATTTCCGACGGTGGATGGCGGCGGAGCTCGAAAAGTACGCGGCGTTTGTCGAGAGCACGCTGCGCCCGCAACTTACGGATGCACTGGCGCGACGTGATGCATTGAATGAACAGATCGCAGAGTACGCGACTCTCGTGGAAGTCGTGGAAGCCAAGGCAGCCAAGGACTCCGCCGACAAGCCGTGGAAACTCCAGGCAGATTTGGGGAAGCAATGCTTCGTCAAGGTCAAAGTGCCGCCACAGACAAACATCGTGGTCCACATAGGCCTCCAAGTCTACATTGACGTTCCCGCGAAAGACGTCCCTGCCATCGTCGCGAAGCGCGTGGACGTGTTGACGAAGCAACGGGACGTGCACCAGACCAAAGCGCGCAACGTGGCAGGACACATCCAACAGATCCTCGACTCAATAGAGCAACTCGCCAAGTTGCAACAGTTGGAGAGCTAACCATAACGAAGTAAATGATACAGTTGGCATTAACGAACGATACATGGACATGGTCATGCATTCTACAAACACTCTCCTCCTGTATTGTCCTTGCTGTATAATCGTGTATGTCGTCGTCTTTCGTCATATCTTCTGTCGTTGTTCGTTGTTGTGATTCTCGCACCTGCCGTTAGCAGTAAACTTTCCACTGGCGAGCAGATGTACGTTGTTTTTAGAGTCCGCAAGTGCCACCACCGCCACCACTTCGTCGCAATGACCGACGCTGGGACCATCGCACTCGGCCGGAATGTTGTCCACTGGTGTATCACAAGCCAAAAGCAGGTCAAACCACGACTGAGCTTCAAGATGTAGGCGTACGATACCTACACCAATTGGGATACTCTACACGTTAGCCAAGGACTGCTACATGCCGGCTATAAGGATTTCACAGCTACTGCCTCGTGGTGGCCGGAGATACGAAGCGTAATGTACTAGGGAGAATGGGGGAAGCTCAAATCAGAGCCACAATACCCTGGGGATTAACTACGGATTAACCCCTCCCTAGGGCCGTAGTGAGATCAGATTACCCTCACCTAAGGCCTTACGCAGAAAAGGAATAAACCAGGGATTCTGTTGAATACGCGGTTACCTTGCGCGTGTACTCGAGAACTTCGCTGTCAAACAAATCGAATCCAAGCACAGCGACATGAACCACCGAAATACTGGTGCAGTCGGTGAAGCTCGTGGCGGCCACGGAGCCACAACGGAGCCACAATCGGCTCAGTGATTGGAAGCATTATTTGTTATTATAGTCGATGTTTTGAAAAATGGATACTCGTATTAATATTAGGTTTAATTAGACCTCTTGACGACTACGTAGTACTTAAGTACACTACTACTATGTACTGGTGTATTTACTACCGGTACAGTATGTCGTATGCGAATGTGGCTAGGAGTTTATGACTACTCGTCGTACTATTATTAATAATAGTCCATGTACTGTACTGTACAGTACACGATTTCGAGTTGCGAAGTCTCAAGTCACCCACTCAAAACAAAAGTACACGACGCCACACATGGCGAGAGATTATCATCTACATAAGTGGCTCACGCTGGAGACCCCCTTGGCAGTTCGCAATCGCGAATTTCCTTCAAATTTTCCAATTATTTGATTGGCTACCAAATAATCCACAGGAGATGGAAAATTGAGCGAATATTTTAGCCAATCAGCGATAAGAAATTTCAGAATATCCAATCAAATGTCGCGAGGTTCGATACAATATCTCATCGGCCATTGTTCACGATAAATACCATGTTAAGTGTAAACTAACGTCAGCCCATTATGGCGCCATGTGACAAATACATGGTAAGGGCAGCTCCAGCAATCTTGTTTGCAATCTTTTACTACTCTGGTCCATAATAATACCGGTAGTCCCATTTGTTTTTTTTACTTGATTTGTGTATGGACGATAAATTTTATAGTATCATATTATAAAGGTAAATACTCCGAAAATTTGCTATTGGGGTGAGTGCGATGCCACGCCGAAAAAGTGATTTACAAGAGCCCAGACGCTCCTTGGTGGTGCATCTTCAATACATAGCCAGTAGTTACTGTACAGTATATACGATTGGATGATGTAGCCAAGCGATGGCAGTTGTTAGAGTACTCCAGATGGCACTGGAGTGAGCGAGACATGCGTCATATTTTTTGTTTTGCGATGAGCAGCAAGTAGCTACAGACAAGTCGACGACGTCTGTAAGCTTGCAAGTGGATAGCAAATGCTTCGAGAAAGTTATTAGACGTTGAAAACATACTTCTAACTGTGATATTGAAAGCCTGACGGGCCAATTTCTATGTTCAGAATCGACGAGACGCTCTCTGTTGGTCATATCTCATGAACGACGACAATGTATGAGGGGCGTCAACGAGCCCATCAAAGAGATTATTTAGTGCTTTAATTTCCACCAATCAAAAGCTAGAAATTCAACCTAACAAAGAAACGCAACCATCGACAAAAAAAGGGGAGGACCTGAGTGGTAGCGTTTTACACTTTTTCACATATACTTCACAGTTGCCAAACGCTGAAATGTTCTACTTCGAAGTATTTCGCTGTTTTGGCGATTTAGCCTGAATATGACTAATAAGTTGGTTGAACAAATGGATTATATTCTCGCATTTCCAAGGGATTTTAGATTTGATGATGTGGCTTGGGCCATACCGGTAGGTAATATTAAGTGGTAGAATTGAAATCTTATGGGTATGAATATACGCTGTCAGATCAAATCCATTGAAACGTTTCGGGGGTCAAGCCTTCCAACCTCATCCTTCAACTTCAATTGCCACCACACGTACTCGACTTGGGGTGGTCTTGAGGATGTGAATGGTGAAACAGCAGATGCCGAGGAAGGAGCACAGCGACAACCGTTGGAGCTCTGGATGGTGAAGGCGTGGACGTCATCCCAACTTCAAACTCAAGGTTGAGAATACTGTAATGATCTTTGCTGCTGAAATATTTCAACTTTAGGTTTTATGTGAGTTTCGTCTTTTTTGGCTAATCCAGGGCTAATACAGTATCCATCTTTTATAATTTTTCATCGTAAGGTAGTTTTATGGATGGAACAACGTTCATTCATAGTTTTACGGAAAGCAATGAATGACAAATAGTGATTTCAAGAAGCGTTTGATTGGCTACGAATTACTGTATGGGGTGTCGTTCTTTTAAGCTTATTCAAGTTGTTTGCACATTTCGTTGTTTAACGTCGGTTTACATAACTTTATTTAACGTGCTAAAACAAGGGGCAGGTGAAAAGCACAATTACGCGTAGTTTACTATTAAGCGACCAAGTTAATCCTCACAAGTACACTGTACAGTATGCCCGGCAGTAGCCGCAGTTTCTGAAGATGTGGCAAGCAATCATCGATGCCATTGAGATAAGGCAAGTAACGATCGGAGCAACGATCGAGGTTGCAGTTTCTTTAAGGGGGTTTCGACGCCATGCGACTGTCGGCCTGCCACCGAAACGTCCATCGCGTGATTGGCTCAAAGTGGAGTTGAATTTTAATCAATATTTTATCCTACCTAGGGATTTGTATACTAGTGTGATGAAAACGACTTGGTTCTTGTCGTGTCGCAGTATACTGCGGGTACTTCATTTTCAAAGTTGCAACCTTGGCACACTCGATGGTGTTTGAGTTCCACTTCACACTCGTTCCTCGCGGCGCAAGACCGACAGCTTCCGTCGCCGCCAGTGACTCGGCAGTCATCACTGGCGCCGAATGCGCAGCCTTGGCCAAGCATCTCACAGACTGTACTCTGCTTCCCGTGGCCTGCCACGCTCTGCTCCAACGATCGAGGAACCAAGTTGCAAAACGAACCCCACAGTCAACCAAGACGGCACCGCCAGCCCCATTTCATGACTTTGGCATGATTTATCTGTAGCATTGAATGATTACCAGTTGTATGGTCCATCTCCTTCAATCAGCACACACACTGTGTGCTGCCTCCCATATTGAAAAAGGGTTTCGACCGTTCATATGCTCACAGTCAACTTCACGTCGTACATGCTACATGTAACGATAATGCTCCTTACTACTTAATACTAGTATTCCACAAACAATTTCGATGTAAGGTTGACTTAACGTTAGATTCAATCTAGCCAAGCACAGTCGACATTATCAAAGGCACCTACATATTGTAGTCGAACTGTGCGGCCCGTGGCACAGCAAGCCATGACTCACAAAGATCAAATGACATGTTCAATCTTCGTTACTCCGGAGTATAACGTTACTAAAAGTATGCCGTTATACGTGCCCGCATCTTGTTGTTTCATAGACTATTTACATATGGGCGCAGTTTCGTGACAACTTATGGTTCGGTGCCACGATACATGATTGGTAGAAAACAATCCTCTGAAAAACATTTCAACCAATCACCTGTAATTTTACGTGCGTTTGAAAGAATAACGTTATGGATATTTTTCAACATTATTAATACGAATTTCGACATGATTTCAAGTCCGACTACTATTGTGTTTTCGAGTGAATTTTCGTGTTGTGGCGTGGTTTCTCGTTGGAATTTAAATCGATTTGATTGGCTACTTCTAATGAGCTCAAAATTAATAACCAATCAAAACCTTCTAAATGAAATTCAACCAATCAGATCGATTGTGGATCGGTTTGGTCGGCGCGATTCGATTGCACCCCCTCCCCAAATTTGTATCAAATCGACAATAACTACATTCATTCTTCTCTTTATCCTAGCGAGTTAAGAAGCACAATTATGATGGCAATTTCGAGTAAAGGAAGCCCTCCATCGAAGGGTCACCCAAAAGTGTCACCATGTCCATTCGTATGTATAGCAGCTAGCTCTAGCTAAAACAAATAAAAAAGCGAAAAACAAATCTATTTTTTTTAAATAGATTTTTTTTTACCAACTTCTTTTTGGTTAAGTTTAAAAACCTAACCAAAAAGAACTTGGTATACTACTATTAATAGTACTACTATTATTAACAGTACCAGGTATGAATACCTATTAATCGCTACACGACCCGACTACGTTCGACACATTGCCGTGGTCGGTCGTTTGTCCAAGTCCACCACGACGCCTTCCGCGCCTGGGTCGGGGGCGCGGTGCATTGCTTTGGATTCGATCACGACTTGGCCTTCGTTGATGCACAGCACGTCTTGGTCTTCGCTGCCGCAATACACGACCTTTCGTTTCTCGTGCTAACATCGACACAAATATCGCACAACATGTCAAAATCAATCACATATATATATATATATCCACTACCTCGACTTGGGCAGGATTCAAGGTAAACAAGATGGGCTGCCCAAACTCGACCCCTTGCTGGACCTTGCCGAGGCGCGTGACCCCCGGCGACGGTGGCGCCTGCCGCAGTGACCCCATGTACACTTTGAGGTCATCCACATAAATCTCAATTTCCCTCGCGCCGCGATCCGGTGTTTTGCTGTAGTTGTAGATCTTGATCATCGACACTGTCACGGGCGTGTCAAACATAGCAAACACAACGTTGCCTACAATATAGTACGACGATGACAACGGACAATTGAATACTCCATGGAGGATGATATATCAACAAAAACGATATATATATATAAATATCACAAAAAAATACATATATATTTATGTCACAAAAAAAATTTGTATAGGACAAACAAGATATACATATATATTACAAAAAGATATCTATATATATATTGCTAAAAATGATATATGTGGAAGTCATTGGTTTGGGAACAAACAAGTGATATAGTTCACTAAGCAATTGAACGCAAACACAAACTATCACGATTTTTTCACTCCTTCAAAGTACAATTGACCAAAGTACAATTAAGTGATATTTCAATGTATTAACTGTACATACCATCGCATTGTCCGAGCGACGACGCCAGCGGGGCAAGCCAGGCCTCGGCTGCATCCCACGTGTTGTTGATTCCTTGGAATAGATTCTGCACCACTCGAATATCCTGCTTCACTTGGACATCGGCCAGACCGGTGGGAAGGGCGGCTACCTGCAATTGTCCACCACAAACATTAGTGGTTCTTAAACGAAACACACTAATTGAAGCAGCGTACCAACGTAGGCGGTGGGAGTTTGTCTCCACGAGTGTCGTACAACTCGATACCGTTCAGTCCAACATAGTACGGGTCGCCCCACGTACTCCACAGCACAAACTATCCACCGTAATATATACACACATAAGCTCGTGAATATATATATATATATATATATATAATAAATCGTCCATATACACACATATGCTCGTGAATATATATATATATATATATATAAATCGTCAATATACAGTTGTAGACGCACTTTGAATAGAAAGCCCGAAGGAAGCAACGGTGGCTCATAATCTTGCTTGAGAACGTGGGTCTTGTAGGTACTCGACACCCCACTGGATGTACTCAAACTGCGATACAGTGCCCACTCGCCCAACACAATCGACTGCTTAAAGTCAAACAATGCATGGCCAGGAGCTTTCCGCAGTGCCACCGTCGCCACCACGACGTTGTCGATCAAAACGATTGCCGACTTGACACCCCGATACGTGTCTTCGGCGCTCTTGTTGTAGTTCCACACGTCCAACCCGTACACGGCGGTTTCGGTGGCCAAATGCACGCGAACTTCGGCTTTTCCTCCTAGCCATTCATTATTTGTTTAGTGTACATGAAAAACGACCGAGAGAGAGAGATTTATTTATTTATGCGTCTACCTTCAAACGGAACTAGCCACATATGAGTGTCGTCGCACGTGACGTTCACTCCATCGACCAACTATATCACACATACAGTGTCTCAGTTAGTCCTATTCTTTTGTGGCACAAGGCAGCAGGAATGGAATCGACGATACGTATCATAGTATGTATGTGAGTGTCTTTACATGTCCAAATAGTTTCGTTCATAGTTTGGCCATTTCTACTAAATCGCCAAAACGTGAAAAATATATCTATAGTTGGATCCAAATTAATTGGAGAAATCAATATTGGGCCAAATATCAGGTCTATTTTTGTGAACCAAAGTTTTAAAATATTTGAAATTGGGACCGGACCCAGTCCATTCTTCGAACGGCAAAGGGTCTCCAACAATGGCCATAAAGTGGTGAATATCACCGAGCCATCAGTAAGTACCTTGTCCAGCGTCCGTGGGTCCCCTGTGTAGCCCAACTACGAAGGAAAGATTACAATGGGGATATGTATATAGCAACTCTGTTCATGTTTGTTACCGATTGCAAGTCGCGAGGCGTGGCATCGAGTTGGTGTGGCGTTAACGATAGGCCAGTGGGCTCTTTACTACTGCCGTCCTGCGGCAACACCCACAGAGATATCCCCGTGAGTCCGACATAATGCCGATCGCCCCACGTAGAGAGCACAACGAGTTGCAGGGTTCGGCCTCTGAATCCTTTGGTTGGCTGCTGTTTCTGTTTCTGCTGCACCATGTCGCATGCCGGTGGTGGATGCTGCTGCACGCCATCACAATCTTTCGGTTGCATGGACGGTGGAGACGCTGAGACCGGGGCGTAGGCTGTATTGGGCCGTTGGTTGTTACGCTCTTCTGCTGTGGAGGGCCTTGGAATCGACTGAATGTCATGCACGACGGCGGACGTCACGTCCACGGTGGGATCGTCGTCCACTTGCTCGATCATTGAAAGCAATGACTACATAAATACATACATTTTTATTTTTGTGAGTTTTATGAAATTTGCCAATGTTGGGGAACTGGTTGAAATCGCCTATAAATCAAGACAGAATTGGCTAAAAACGAAGGTTGCAGTAAGATTGGCTAAGGCCGAAGGTCTGGATGCCACAGAAAAAAAAACCTGTGAAAAATATTCTGTCATAGAATTCGCTTTTCAAAGGAAGATGAGAAAATATTTGCAAAATATTTTGACGTGGATGCCATGATAGAATGAAGACTATTGTAGGTCAACATTGGACAGTTGCAGTTGAAACCATTTTTTGTCTGAAAACAGTAAAAATTTGACGTACTATGTCCATTTATATATGTCAAATTTGGTGGTAGCCAAACATATAAAGCTGTCTTTTGAAAAATTGTGGAAATATTGTGGATTCAGTATAAATTTCCAGGCCCCGTCGAATCGAATCTCGCCGCAGAATCGAATCACGAATCGACGCTATTGGCTAAGCCAATTTTAAGTGACGTTGATTGGTTCTTACAGAAATTATATTATATTCAACCAATCAGAACTCCAGCATGATTCAATATCATCATCAGACATACCACGCGAATTTTAAGAGTTTATAGCGAATTCACCATATTTCTGAAAATTTGACATTTTTTGTGACAGCCAGGGTGGCCCTAAATGAATAAAAAAATGCATTTCAGTCGCAAAAATCTACCTCATAAACTTATATTGATATTGAATTCCGCAGGCCGGGCGATTGTTGAGCCACCCACCGGAGGAAATTTCAAGTACAACACACAATATATCAGTAAATCATAAGCGAGTTTGTATGATGCAACAACTGAGTGGACTGGGAAGTAGTAGGCAACTAACTACCTCGTCGGTCGTAAACAAAATCACTTCGCAGCACTGGTCCACCGCGCCCAAAATCCCCGGTGCTTGGCGGATCTCGCCTTGAAATATCTCTTGACCGTCCAGCAACACCCGCACAAGCTTGACTCCCCGAAAGCTAGTAAATCAAGTACAGTACATTAGTAGTACATTGGTCTTGTTTATAGCTGTGCTGTACCTATGCGCGCGGGATTTGTTGTAGTTCCACACCCGAAGCAACGAAATCGTGACCATAGTATTAAACTCGACTGTGACAGAGTGCACTTGGTGCGGTGTGAACGGCGCGAGCCACATGTGCAAGTCGTCGCACGTGTAGTTGACTCCATCCACCTAATAATCGTTATATATATATACATGCTGACAACCAGCAGAATAGACGATAATATATTTATTCTCGTTTGAATTCCAGTTCAAACTACGTACAATGTTTGCAGCTACACGAGGATCCCGTGCTTTTGCGGTAGCATATTCAGGCAGGATATTGATGCTAGCCGGCACAGCCGTCACTTGGTCCTGTAAGTGCCAACAAAAACCATCGTGAATAATAATATAAATATATATACATGTAATAACGTGAATAGTTTGAACAATTAGCTCTAATTTTTCGTTCGGGTTTTGAACTATGATGGAATTCTCAACATAAGTAGTTGTAGGTTTATGTTATTGCTTTTGGAACATATATATGTATGTACCTGTGGAGACGCCACCTTCACAGCTTGTCCGCGGTCATCAAACACATCCAATCCATTCAATCCAATATAATATGGATCGCCCCATGTGCTCAGGCACTCCATCACGAGCTTGCGACCTGTGGGTAAGATCGGAATCTTGGTCGTAGGTGGGTAAGTAGGGAGAGTGGCCGGTCGAAGTAGGTCCGCCATGGACGAGCTCTGGCTAGTACTTCGAGTCAGGACTGCAGTAGTTCGATTCGTGTTGGACGGGGCTGTGCTGAACGTAGGTGCAACTGAATCAGGTGCAGGGAACGACCGAGGGGTGGAGGCAATGTCGGCGGGAGGTTCCAGTCGACTTCGGTTTGTGCGCTTGAAGTGCTCCAGTGTATCCCATGACGACTGCAAACTCGGCATCGCAGATCCAACCACACTATTTGGTGGAAGCGATATTGGCTGGACAAGGTCGTGTTGGGTGGTGGCTTCCCCCGCGTTGCGGCGCCGGCTAGTTGATGGTTTGACCGAGGTAGACAGCACGTCGTCAAGTGCTTTGATGTCATGATGAGCCAGATGATGTTCGACCTTGGCTTGAGATGCCAGGGAAGTTAACGATGCGTCTGGTTTGAGATTGTTGTGTGGTGGCAAAGCCGACAAGGCGGAAGTGGACGAGGGAAGCCAAATTGGTCCAGAACTTCGTGGAGGGTCGGTGGGTGCAGCCATCGGTGGGGCTGGTGCACTGGGTGTGGGTGTTTTTTTGCTATCTTTGGGTTTCTTTCGCATCACAGTCGCGACGTTGATCCATGTACATGTATTCTCGTCCTAGTGACCATGTTAGCCCCCATATATTAATATTAGATTTATCTATTAACATCCCGTGCAATATATATATATATATATATTCACTTTCGACAAGATAGGTTGAAGATCCTAGTATAATATACTTATATATATGTATATTTACATATGCATATATACCTCGGAGCCATATGTTTCCGGCAGCGACCCCGTCCATTTGCATTGGTTGTCGACAAACACTTCAATGTCGCGCACACAGGCTGCCACATGTAATTTCTATTCATATCATTCGTTGGCCAATATATATATATATATATTTCTGTTTTAGTTTGTTCTATTGGATTAGGATTCAATATATATCGCCATATATATATAGTGGCTAGGTAGGGTCATACGTGGTTATAGTTCCAAATGCACAGTTTGTTTGGTGGTGTATACACACCAAAGGCAATTTGAAGTGGATGGGCGTCGATTTGCCGGCTACAGGTACAAAACATTGAGGTTATCATTACTAGTATGTACTAGTATATACTACTGTAAGTACCCGAGCCACATGTCGCTTTCACTGGTCGTGGTGGCCACGCCATTAAATAGGCGGGTCAGATCGCGCACCATACTATTGGACCTAGGGATGGGCTGTCCTTCGGCTTGTCCGCTAAACAGTCGCAGCGATTCTAATGGCACATCTAGTTCGTTGCCGTCCATATCGTACACGCATATCTACACGATCCGACGTTTCATTGATAGTGGCTAAGGAACATCATGTTGCCGCCTACCTGGGTTAGCCCTACAACACGTGATTTTCCCCACGATGAAAGCAACTTGATGCGCACTTCAATCCAACGAGGTGGTTTCGACACGGACAACGACGACGATGTGCTTTGTTTGACCTGCGACGATGTTGGGATGGTGGGGGCAGCAGGGGGAAGTCCTAACGACATGGACACTTGGGATGGCAACGCAATATGCGACGACGTGGATGGCTGGGGTTTGGGGGGGCTACCGGTCGGAATGGACATAGCCATAAACGCTTGGGGGGTTGGCGGCACCGGTCGTTCGGGACCTTCCGGCTGGATTGGTACATCTTCCTGAGTACTTCTCGTAGCCATCAAACTAGCTGGTATAGAAACTGGCGCCGTTAACGCTGTTACGGATGCAGTATTCGTCGTGAACGAGGATGTTGTTGTGTCCATCCACTTTTTCTGCATGTCCAGACGTCGCTGGGCCATGAGCGTTTCAAATTCCATCTCTTCGTCTTGCAGTTTCTTGAGGCGCTCGGCGCGTCGCGCCTCGGCTTCGGCCACCAGTCGCATGCTTTCGTGTCGTTCAAACTCGAGTTTCCGCGTGACTTCGGCTTCCCACGCGCGCTGGTTGGACGTGAGCTGGGATGATGCCATGGACGGCGTCAGTTGTTGGCCCCACACTGTGGGGTCGATGGCAGACTGCTGCTGTAGCACTGGGACATCGTCGGCAGTTCTACAGGCACCATAGTTTTGTGTTGTTAACCCAATCGTTTGTTGCTCGGATTCGATATATCCGTGAACTAACTACAGTGCCATCATGCGACAATGTGGTTTCTATAGCGTCTTGAGAGAGGATGTAAAAGACGACGTACTGCTTGGAGCTGTGGGTGAGTGTCTGCAACACACTAACAAGTTCGCGCTGCTTGTCTCGGGTGAGCCCTTGGATCAGAGCGTTCAATTCCAACGTCGTTTGGCCTAGAGGCAGATTGGCAACCTGGGATTCTAATGCTGCTGCTACTGGCAGCGATGGTTCAGCCAAAACTACAGCTTGGAGCGTTGGTGGCGGCGTCACATCGTTCACTTCATCGTCGTCATGGCGGCCGTGATAATGTTGGCCCTCTTTTGACCACATGTGCTCGTCGCCAGTCGAGTTGTCTTCAAACTCTTCAAACGATTCGTCCATGTAGTCTTCGTCGACGTCTTCTGGTTCGGGATTGTCATCACCGTTGCCCTCTATCCTTTGACCCGATAGCTGCGGAGCTATGGCAAACACAATGCAACCATCTCGTTCTGCTGCAACGCCTTCGGGTCTATGATGGTTGTTGTCATCAACATGCGACACCGTTGGGGAAGACGTACTTGGTCCATTTGTGTCGAGGTCGGCCCCCGCTACTGGTACTAGTAGCCTGTGTGTGGTGCAATGGAAGGGTTCCGGTGGAGTGTGACCCCGATCGAGGGTGTTTGCTGTCAGCTCTGTCATCGGCAAGTTGTGGAGGAAGTGTCGCAGCAACTGGTGCGGTCCGCAGCGGCAATTTCATCGGGCCAGCCGACTTGGCCCGCGCTTTGGCCTCCGGCATCCTCGCATGCTTGTTCTTCCGATGAGCATTCTCGCCGTTAAAGTTGGTCGTGAACCCCACCTCCTTCTCTTTATCGTGGACGTCCTTGTCGTTCTTGGATTGCTCGTCCAGTTTCTTCTTGATACGATTCCGCTCTTCGAGTTTACGAAGGTACTGCAGCTGCTTCTCCATGGCAGGAGTGTTTTCAACCGACGAAGCACCAGACGACTTGGGCGTCAAAGCATCTGCCATCGACGCCATGGACGGGATGGTCGTCACTGGCGGCGCGCCAGGCTTGCTGCTCCACTTTCGGTCCTTCCGATGAGGATCGCTCATCGTGTCCGTTCGAGGTCGCCGTTTCTCAAAAGCTTGGGAGTATCCGGATACCAGAATTCCCTTTAAACAGTACTAATAGTACGTTTAATTCGAAGCTCAACTCCCAGATGCATGCATATACATACAGCGCTCGTTAACTAACATACCACGAAAGAAATATCCGCTTTACTCTGTGATACATTATCATCTATACAAAGGAGAATACCTTGGCGAATGCCAAGCATTGTGGGCCCCTAAGCGACAGCGATTCATAGCGCTATTATAGCTTACTGTTAACTGTTATTACTCCAGATGGTAGCCAAAAGACGAGTAAGTATATTTTGACTTCCGCCTGACGTACTTTGTTATCTTGATTAAAGTATATAACCTTTAGACGAATTAGCTCAAGCGTACTCTCGTAGAGAGTTAAACGCAATTATTGGGTTAAACTGGACCTGTTTGACAAGTATCCGGATATGATAATCGCCCCATAAGTGCCTAAAGATATTCTTGTGTCATGAGAGCGATGCCGAAGTCGCGACTTCAGCGGGCCCTCCGTGGCCTGGGTGTGCTATGTGGGTCCAGACCCGTCGCGGTCATCACGGTGGCCTTCGTCTTTAGCGTGGTGTGTACATTGGGTGCATTGCGCATGACGATTCAAAACGATCCGCAAAAGCTGTGGGTGCCACCGACGTCCACGTCGGCCAAGCAGCAAGCGTACTTTGACGAGAACTTTGGCCCGTTCTTTCGCATCGAGCAGTTGATCTTCCATTTCCCCAACGGCAGCGACGACAACGACTTGATCACGGCACCGCTCTTGGCCGAAGTCGCGGCCCTCCAGCACCGCATCGAAACGACCACCGTCGAAGTCGACGGCCGCAACATTACGCTGGACGACCTGTGCTTCCGTCCCATTCCTGACAAGGGGTGTTTGGTGGAGAGTCCGATGCAATATTGGCGCAACAACGTGTCGCTGCTAGCCACCGACCCCGACATCAAACTCACGGTCGTGTGCCAGACCACGCATCCGTTGGTACGTTCACGGGAAACTTAAAACGACATGCCACGTCATGTTTCTGCATGTAGCTCTCCACATACGCACCATGCATGGACCAAAACGGCATTCCTGTGATGCGCGACGTCGTCTTTGGCGGGCTCGCCACCGATACATGCCATCTCAATCCCGACCCGTGCGGCGACTCCACCCCTCGCGCGTCGGCCCTCATCGTCACCTTTTTGCTTGTACGTCAAATTCTAGAAACATCACGATATATATATATATATATTTGAAGTTGCAGGTTATGACATATATATATATGAAATCCTTTCACACGTCTTACGTCAAAGTCAACAAAGATCATGATATATAGTAAATATGTATAAATGTATCAATTCGAAGGTTATAGTCCTGTAAGTATTTATATATATTGTTTTTACAAGTAAAAAGAGGCACCTGTAATCTTTATTGAATATGTAAAATCTATAAAATTATTATATAGTGAACAAGTACTGTAAAGGAAAGGTGAAATAGAGCTTTCGAGTTTGAAATAATTCTGAAACTCTATGCTAATAATCAATTGAAGCTTTTTTATAAAGTGACAGTGTACCTTTTGCATAATGGGCCAGCAAGTTTATTTTTTTAGCAAGCTTAATTTATATGATATATATAAATGTATCTATTCGAAGGGGTAGGTTATGATATCTATATCTATATCGTCAGTATCCACTTCCACACTGCCCTAAGCACATGTACACTAACTAGTTCTGTTTCTATGACAAACACTGCCTTCTTCTATCACATCTCTAAACCTAGGATACTACTGGTTTTCTATACATGTTTTTTCGTAGAACAACCCCCAGAACACTACGTTTCTAGCCCATGCGAAGGCGTGGGAAGCGCAGGTATTTCTAAACACTTCGTTTAGCTCTCCATCGGGGCTGGTGGTGGAGCGCATGGCGCAGCGCAGTGTCGAGGACGCCCTGACCGTGGAAACCCAGCAGAATGCGTTTGTGGTCGTGCTCAGCTATGGCGTTATGTTTGTGTACGTGGCGCTAGCATTGGGCAACGCCCGGGACCCCGTGCGCAGTCGATTTGGACTGGGGCTGTGGGGCATTTTGATTGTGCTGTTCTCTATGGGAATAGCATTTGGTACGTTCGTTGGATAATAATCTTTGTTTAATTTTTTTTTTATTTGATTGGGTTTTTTATTCGCCTTTCTAACCAACGACTTATCTAGTTATTGTACCTTTCACCTAAATATGGACTTTGGAGTGAAGAAGCCAATGAATGCATGACATTTGACCTGATTTAAGCTTGTTCAAACGATACTGTACAATATGTTTAGTATATATATATCAGGTAAAGTGGTCATTCTATTAAGACATTCGATTCTGCTGGCGGCTCCAGTATCGAATCGATTTAATAGTATTGTTTGAATGAACTGCCCAACAATCGCCAGACCTGCAACATTTGATACACAACGAAGTTTCAGAGGTTTCTTTGTGACTGCACTCCACCATTCATTCTTGTTAGCCAATCATATTGCAACCGTCATTCGTTTTAGCCAATCATAGTGACTTGGTCGATTTGTTGGCGATTTCAACCAGCCCCTATAATGCGGCGAATGTGCGTGAAAAGCAAACACAATATATATGGCCAGAATGATAGATACACATGATGTAACTTGGACAACGAACGCTATGGCCCTGGTTCGTTGAGGAGTATTCTTCGTAGGGGATGGTGGACGACTTGGTTTTTTTTGTGTTCATATTCTAATCCTCTTGTAAAGTGAATGTGACATCAACAACACTTGCTTGGCAACTCGTCATGGCGGTGGTGGCATTTACTTCATGGGATGACTGGCGGTAGGTGTGGCGGTGTGTGTGATGCGCATTGAAATCACCATGATCACGCTGGAAGTGGTGCCGTTTCTGATTCTTGCCATCGGCGTCGACAACATGTTTATCCTGACCAACGAACTGGACCGGCTCACGCGCTGCCAGTCCCACGTGTCCCGTGGTTCGCTCCGCAACGTTAAACAACGTTAATTACCGTTGTAGAGTTTCATTCGTTGCCCCAGCTCGTGGGCGAGGCCATGATGCACGTGGGGCCGTCGATCACGGTGGCGGCCGCGTCGGAATCCCTCGCGTTTCTCGTCGGCGCGTACACCAAGATCCCAGCGTTGGAATCGTTTTGTATGGTCGCCGCCCTCGCCGTTGTCGCAGATTATGTGCTCCAAATGACGTGGTTTGCAGCAGCGTTGGCACTCGATGCGCGTCGGATGCGTGTACGTTCGATTTCTATCAATATGCCTTTATATTTATATATGTATATATATATCGAGTACCTCGTTCTATACATGAATTGGACGGTATTGGTCCTTTTTGGCGATACTGTTCGATTTGTATTTTTGTTGACGTCGACGATCTTTTGAGCCTAAAACGTAACGTTGGACTTTGTTGTCCAGTTTAGAATAAACAATATTCGCTCAGTGTGGAATATAACCATATATATATATTTTTTTATATATATCTTGTAGGCCCGACGATACGACTTGTGTCCGTGGATCAAAAAGCCGTACGTCCTCAGCCCAGACAAAGCGCGGCAGATCCGCGCGTACTCGGACGACGCCGCCGCCGTCGACTCGTCGGTCGTCCAGACGTTCTTGGACTCCAAGTGGATTCCATTGCTGTTTGCCAAATGGACCCAACGACTCGTGGTGCGTCTAGTTTGAGGCTGGGAGGACCGATTGGTGGCGGTATTGAAATGCTAGCATATATCAATGGTGGCTTTATGTGTATGTGTTGAGTGTGATAGTCTGTGCCTTAGAAGGATATAGCAAATATGATACTAGCGTGGATATGGTCGTGATGTTCTACAGCAAACTCGAAATAATAGTTAGGTTCCATGAACTGGGAAAAATATAATATATATCGAAGTTTAAGAGGTAGTAGTATGGTTTGATTATGTTGTGATTTTTAGCCAATCATAAGAATGTCACGTTCATTTGTTTTGAGCCAATCATATTTCTTTGTTCAATGCAATTTCAACAAATTCATCAACAGTGCAATATATTTGGGCGACAAGTACTATAATAATATTATGATTGGAGAATATATAGATTGATTGTTGGTGATAATATATGTCGTAGGTGGTGGTGTGGATAGGATGGCTGGGGTGGAGTGGCTACAGTGTCACGCAGATCCCCATGGGACTCGAGCAAACGCTGGCAGTTCCGTCGGATTTTTACTTGCACTCGTACTTTGAAGCCCAAAACAAGTACGGCGATGCCGGTCCCCCAGCTTATATCGTACGTTAATTCTACCTCGTGGATGTACTGTACGTATAGTTGGATAATCCGTCGTAATTCGAAATCCAAGGGCGAGATTGGGGTTTTGGGTATTATATTCCGTCCTATTTTGATATATATGTCGAAATAGGACGGAAAAACACCCACCAATCATATATATATATATATTTCAAATCTAGGTGTCATGGGGGATGTATATATATTTATGCTCATGGAGTATATAGGTGATGCGGCAAGTCAACTACACCGATCGCCAAGTCCAGAGGTCGACGATGGACTTACTGGACAATCTGTCGCTGCTGGATGCTTACATGGACACGCCCATCTTTGCATGGCTCAACACGTTCAACCAGTGGCGGCAACTGCGCGCGTTTCTCGAAGAAAAGCGCGAGGACGGCAAGTGCCAGCAAACTCGAAATAATGCCGATATATCGTCTATTTAATATATATATATATATATATATATCGAATACCTCTTTGAAAAATATATTATGTGTCGAAAAATATCATTATCTTTTGAAAAAATGAGACGTGTCGATATTGATATATGATTTGGCGACTGGATATCATGTTTATGTAAAATGTATAGATATATCGATATCGCTTGTATAAATAGATATTTACTTCACGATAACATATATGTGCCGAATACACATCACGTTTGGAAAAATAGAAATGTGTTGGCTATATCATATCTTTGGAAAAGTGATATATATATATCGATCGACATTGCTGTTGGAGGATATGATGATATATATACATGTATCATGATCCAACATATATTTATACATGTATGTATATGAGTAGATGAATGCGACTGCCCCGCGCAGCCCATGTTGCCGTTTGCGTTTGAACTGACTGAGCCGGGCGACACCCAACCCGTGACGCCGACCGAGTTTTTCTATCCGTTGGTGTACAACTTTACACGCATTCCGATCGATTCACAGTGCTGCCAGAGCTTTGGCATGTGCGGTGCGCAATATGCAATGGACATTGAATTTCAATTCCGGTACCAATTTTGATCCGCTGTTATATATATTATTCATGTCCAAATATAACGGGTTATTGTAGGCGCCAAGACGACGACGAGAATCAAGTTGTGGCACATGTCGATGGCATCAGTGCGTCGCGATTTCGTTTCCAAGTATCGCCTCTGGTGAACCAGTCGACGTTTATCAATTCATTCTACTACCTCAACCACTACACCACTCTATGGAGCGAACCCATCCTTCCTTTGTATGTCATTAGATCGTTTTAAGTTATTCGAATATGCACAAATCACCGTGATATATGTATAGGGACGGCGACACAAGGAACCCCGTGGCGTTCCCGTACAGCTTGTATTTTGTCTACTATGACCAGTACTTGTCCATTCAAGGCATTGCGCTGCAGAGCGTGTTGCTAGCTTTGGGTAACGGGTTTGACATGAGATGATTCTTTTAAGAGTTTTGTATGTATATATATCAAAAAGTCAATAATATTTGATTGATTTCTACAAGCGAAACGCATCCCGTCGCGCGTTTGTTTGCACCTGATTGATTGCCCAGCTACCGTATACCTTATGGATCAGTACCCACGATTTTGCCTTATCGAGTAGTACCCAAATTACTGTGTGGTGTCAATTTAGATGGATTTGGTGTACCTTAGAAGGCTGTACCAAGTCGCTTTATATTGGTTAACATTCTTCAATTATATCGTTCTAGCCAATCAAACAATTCTAAGTAGTAGAACTGGCCAATCCGAACCCGTTAGAATGTAATTAGATAACCTTATTGAGCTGTATCTATTTCGATCAGATTTTACTGACATTTTCGAGGGTACACATCCATAAGGTATACGGTAGTTGGATTCGACCTTGGATAGTTTGATTGAATTTTATTACTTGTGCGATTTGAGTCGAAATTGACGCGGAAATATATAACTATATATATATATATAGGCGTGGTGTTTATGGCCATGATGCTGCTCCTACCGACCCAAGTCGCGACGTGTGTGCTCGTGGCGCTGTCAGTACTGTCCATGTCCATTTCTTTGGTCGGGGTGGTCCATCTATGGAACCTCTGCACTTCGCTGCACACGTCGATTAATGCGGTAAAACTCCTTTCTCAGTAAAAATACTTTGTGTTTGCAATGGTTGCTCCTTGGATATATATATATATATATATCGAGCGAAATTTGATATGTGAGGTCAATTGTTTGTATCGGCAGAAACAAATAGTATTATGAATATAGAAACTAAGGTGGTATACAAAGTCCAAGGATCCGGATTCGTGAGTCTCTCATATTCAGGTGCTAAAGTGGTTCCTTGGATTATGATTAGCCAATTGATTTGTTTTTTCGCGTATTTTGAGTGGTTTTGCAGCTCATATAATTGAGCAGTATCCCTCAGAAAAAGTCGAATAAAGTAATAATCTGGTATATTTCGTGGAATTCCCATTGATGTTCCATCGCATTCCATGGAAAGTTGTGTGACTCGTCTAAATTGTGGATTCGGTACAAATTCCGTCAAATGGAATCACGAATCGACGCTATTGGCTAATCCAATTTTGAGTGAATTTTTGATTGGCTCGGACAAAAAGGACAAGTATATTCAACCAATCCACACTTCAGCATGATTCAATATTTTGTATCAGACCAACCCCATGCGAATTTTGCAAGTTTAGAGCGAAGTCACAATATAGAGATATCTATGTCATCATCCTGTGTAGGTATCGGTGGTGAATATGGTGGCATGTGTGGGGCTCGGAGTTGAGTTTTGCATCCACTTGGCATCTACATTTGCGTCGCTGGCATCGACGACCTCCCGCGAAGAGCGCGCCAAGGTCGCCGTGTCGCTCGTGGGCCCGTCGATTGTCAGTGGCATCACGCTGACCAAGTTTTTCGGCATTGGGGTGCTAGCGTTTGCCAAGTCGCAATTGTTCCAAGTGTACTTCTTCCGCATGTACGCGGGCATCGTGGTGCTGGGGGCTGTACATGCGTTGGTGCTGCTGCCGGTGCTCCTGGCGGCGTGCGGGTCGGAAGCGGATGGCGCGTCGACAAAGAAAGTGATGTCGCCGACGTTGTCGAAACAGTATGCCCGAGGCCTGCTGAGCGACGACTCTGACACCGAGTAATAAGTAGTAAAAACCACACGTGTGATTGTGCTCGATATTATTGTTTGGACTGCCCTGAATCACAGTCACGCGTGTCCGTTCTAATACAATATATATATATATATATCAAATCAGGACGTTCGTAGGATGGATATTATAAGAAAAAAAATATTATATCGAATCAAAACAGGACGTTCGTGGATGAATGTAATAATAATAAAAAGAATATATAAAATAATAAACAGCACGCTCCTAGGATAAAAATGGCCAGACGAATCGACCAAGTACTACCTGCGATGATGGTTCAAGAGGTAGACTGGGGTCTAAATCAATAATTTTCGCACGAAAGGAAACATCTACTACGTAATACCTTGCAACCACGACTTAGTAGTCCAGATTATTCTCACGAAAGTAGCATCTCAAACCCCAAAACTCCGAAGTCGTCCGTTGGGTGCACAATACTGTAGTCCACAACAACAGAGGCTCAGCTTGCCCTGGTACATATGTGGAGCTACTACCTGCTTGGTTAAACATACGGCTTGTGTTCAACATTGAGCTGCACAAAGCGATTTCGAATGGATTATACAGGACGCCTAAGTACTGTAACTGCTTGTGTGTCAGTTACACTTTCCCAACCGACAGCCCGCGGGTCGAGTTTGCGGATGTCGCACAACCTTCGGCGGCATGCCAAGCCCAAACCTGTGAGCGGCCTTGGTGACGCGTCGTTTCAACTGCACACGACTCAGCAGACACCAGACCGCCATCCTCCTTCGAATCATGACGACGACCAGTCAGGTTTCGACATCAAGCAGTTTCTCATGGGTGGGTACTGAGTTGCCTGCTTTCAATCAATATCGCGGCCATGTGCAAGTTTTCACATGGATATGTGTAGATCAAAAAGCCACGCAGCCGTTTCACGATAGCGCCTTGTTTCGATCGTCGGCGTCTGCAGGTCGTGGCATCTTGAATACTAATGGACAAGACGGCGGCACCAACCAACCCTATCCTTTGCGAAGTTCTGGCAGTACGTTGCTGAAGAAGAAACAACTGCCTCGCATGGACCAGCCTCCTCCTGCTGCTGCCTCCTTGGGCAAAGGCACGTCCTCGATGCCGACGTTAAATGCCGCGGGAAGTCTGTCCACGAATACCCCTCCGTCCACCAAAAAGTTGCCCCCCCAAGAGGAAGTCACGTCATCATCTGGGTATCGTCTGTACGCGATGGAAAACATGGCCGACTGCTCTCTCCACGCGTCTCGCTCCCACAACCACACGTGGCAAACCCTTCGAACTAGCGGTACGACGACTTGACTGCAAATTGCACTTCGAGGCAACGTCAGATGATACTGCACTTCAAGGCAAAGTGAAATGACTCTTGAGAAGTTATGCCCATGTTCTTTGAGAATATATATAAATATTGGCCATGATGGCTTGTGTAGATCTTCGTTCCGAATGCCCATGCAAGCGAAGCGATGTGCTGGATTTAGTCGCTTGCTTTGATGCGGCTATGAGTTATTCCGGGGGCAAAGACAATTGGGAAGGGGACCGCAAAACCGCGCTCATCGACCGCGACTACATGGCTGTACGTGTCATATATGTAGCCCCATTGCGCCATAACAACAGCATATAAATATATCAACTCAACGAGGAATACCCTCCCCCTACTACACCTAGTAGTTGGGGCCCCTACTCCTTCTGTCTTCCCGTTGACTGTTCAACTACACAATCGAGTCAGCGAATCAAATACGTATATTATGTAGGTCCAAGCCAACGTCGTCGCGTTGTACCGTCCTGCGACTGACGTGACGAAACGGTTGCTCACGTCGATCGTGTTTGAACAAAAATGGAGCGACATCGTGCTGGGGGAACTCGAGGGGATGTTGCTCGTGTCATTCTTCGAGCAAGGCAACTTGCTCCGCAACGTTCGTATCCAGTACGCGACGGCGTTTTACCGATTGGAAACGCACTACACGGCGTGCGAGGTGCGTATATCATTGTTGCTACGCCACCACTGTAGGGCTTGAGATTAAAATATTATTCCAATCTACTTCAATTAGGCGGAGAAAAAGCGAGCACTGGACGAGGCCACGCAATGCCGAGCTGCGTTGACTCAACAAGCGACGGCACATGTCACGGGCATGGCGTCGCTTCGTCAAGAGTACGAGACGGTGATCGCTGCGTTGAAAGACCAGGTGGCTAACGTCCCATAATTTTATTACTTGGTCGAAAGTGAGGTGGTTGAGCAACACAACCAAGGACAGTTCTTTACGAATTGTCCGAATGGGCACGTGGGATTGATGTCATCGATGTATACGTGTAGATGGAGCACGAGCGTGCGGAAGCTGATCGCAAGTTGTTTGATGCCAAGGAGCAAATCGCTAAAATGAGCGAAACCATGAAGACGTTGAACGCGATCTTCAAGCAAATGCGCGAAGACTCGGACAAAGTGCGCGCCGTGGAACTAAAAGAAACCAACGAAAAGCTCGAACGAAAATGCTCGGCCTTGGACGACGAGGCCAAGTTGCTGCGCCCACTGGTGGCTCAAAATCGAAATTTTCAGGCTGCTCTCGAATCGCAAGCTGCCGAAGTATACACGCAACCAACTTGAGTGTATAGCTTAGGATTTATCCATTCTTCTGGACATGTGTAGATGGAAGCGGCATCGACGCGATTGCAAGAACTCGTGGCGTCGGTGGAAGACAAGGACCGGATCATTGAAAACCTATTGCATCGACAAGAACAACTGCTAGTCAAGCAAGATATGATGGTTGACCAGCAGCGGACAAAAGGATCCGGTGGGAACGACGCGGGGGGAGCCGAAGCATCCCACGACGACGGAGCAAATCCACCCGACGCGTCTCACTTGTGTACCCGGTGTCAAATGGTACTCCCCCTCTCTCTCACTCTTCCCCCCATAGCCATCACATATAGCACTCTCGCGAAATCTCACGTTTAAAATTAGTCGCTGTTGGACGACACATCTGGCAACGGGGGAGGTGGAAACAACAATTACGTGGGTGTTGCCACTGGCGGCGGCAGTTGCAGCGTAGGGGCTCAGCCAATTCCGCTCGCCCGACGGCGAGATGGCAAGCGCGTGCAGTGCTTAGCCTACCGCATCCTTCTCCCGAACCTCCAAGGCCGACGCCCCACCAAGGACGTGTCGTGGACACTCGGCTGTATGCGCGCCATCTTGTACGCCAAGCAGCTGGACGATGCCATTTGCTTTCACATGGGGCTTCCCATTCGTCTCCGCATGGCCGAGTTCGTCTACGCGTGGTTTGCTCCCGTCGACAACCCAGACCTCCCCAGCGATCAGCGGGACGCCGTATACGCCCAAGTACGGTGTTGTTGACATGATGCGACGACCAATTGCATCACATCATGATATGGGTGGTTGTGTAACCAGGCGGACGAAGCGAGGTGGAGCTTGTACTACGGCGCCAAGCTCCTGTCTCGAGACTCGACGGAGGCCAAGGTATTCTTGTCCTTTTTGGACGAAAAGTACGGCGACGACGAGGTACACTACTATGTATCGATTGCAGCTACTGGTTCATTGTGTGATGCACATCTACCCCCCCGGAACCCCCCCTTTTTTTCCCTAAACAATCAAAACGTTCGTTTGTGTGTAGCTTGTGTTTGGGCTGTTTTGCATGCGTGTGTTGGACTGCCTCGCGGGGGGTGAGTTAGACTGGAGTCCCCTTCGGCACTCCATGTCGTACCCCCTCTTCAACGATGAATGGGCCGCCCATTTCAACTTTACGGGCGAATCCATTCAAGTGCCTAAAGTCGTATGGATCACACTGCATCATGCGTCCCTAGCTACGGCCATCGTGCTCGCCAAGGTAACAAACCACAAAACTCGAGTTGAAATGCAACGAATCGATTGGTTTCATGAAATATATATGCTATGCATTTGCATAACCAGAGATCTATGACTACTAGATAATATTATTACTACTGACACACACACCACACAGGCCACAGCGGACGAGCGCGACGCGTTCGACTCAAACATGAAGGCGATGGCGACGCTATCGCTCCCGCCGTCCGACCGGCCGACCCGCGTCGTGTCGTTTGATGGAAAGAACGACGGGCCCATGTTGGATGCGTTCCAGTGGCTCAACCTGATGCTCCAAGTACGTTGAAAATCGCATGTACTCGAGTCAATTTTTTGTTTTCGTTTGACACACGACAACACCTGGTCATGGAACTTGCGATACTGTATCATTGTGCCATGGTGCCTAAAATTTAGAGTCGTTGGTGTACCGGTTGCTTCCATGTGCTAAGTATGACTGGTGTCATGTGTGTTGGCTAGGAATATCGAGAAGAGCAAGCGCAGCGACGGGCGGCAATTCGCCTGATGTTTCAAACGGCCACGACCAACAGCAACAGCACCACACAAACGACGTCATCGTCCACGGACGACTTGATGGCGTCGGGCAGCGCCAACGCCGAAATGGACATGGAACAGTTCCGGGCTATGGTTGTGGCACTCAACAGCGACGTGACTGCGGGTGCGTCGTCATTGCTTGTGTTGTCCGCAACTTTCTAAGCAACGACCATAGGCACGATCGCCACGTTTTACCGCGCGTCGTACGAGCGAGGCGATGGGCACGTGACTTACGATGCATTCATGGCCACCGCGGAGGCGCTGCACTTCTTCACGTCGTGCATGCGGCTGCCGTCCCCCAACGTCCTCGCGACCACTCATGTGGATACAAGTGGCGGCGGCGGCATCAACGCGCCCCACGCCCGGCTCGGGTCCTTAGTTGCCAAACACTTTACGCTATACGAAGCCGAGTGCAAACTCAACTTGCAGACGTCCCCCCCGTTGACACAGTCCCTCGCCAAAGCAGCGTTGGAAGAGGTTGGTTATATAGTGTGACTATTCACCACGGGGTCTAGGAATATGTTATTTTATTGGACGTGTATATATCGGAATCCTCGGTTGTTGTATGTAATTGATTCCATATATATATATATACTGTTTCCCAACATGTACTTATCATCATCTCTCTATCTCCTTTTTCGCCATGGTGATGTGGATGTGTGATGATGTCCATAGCTTTCAGAGGTCGAATGATCTCCATATATTTTCATGTACTTCGTGTGTTGGAACACTCTATTGCATATTTATGGCTCGTATATAACTATGTGGGTAAATAATGGCGTAGCTTCGAGTGGTGCTGCGTGAAGGCCGCGGGTCGTCGATCGATGGTTTCCGTGCCCTGGCAGCGTACCAGCGCCTCTTGGCCCTTCAAACCCACGACCGCATGGTGCGTACGGAACACGCCAGCTCCGCCATCACGTCCATGGTGGCGTACCGTCTCGACAAGGAGCTGTACAGTGCCATGGATTGCGTGCGCATCGATCATTCCAAGCGTTCGGGGTACATTTTTCTCGTTGTTTTTCCAATGCCCCCTCGGATGACTCTAACGACGACGACGATAGGGCCGAGGTGCTGCTGGATTCGATTCGCCGCAAGATGTCGGTACATCGCCTGCAGCGCGCGTTCCGGGCGCGGCTGCTCCGGGACCAAGGGGTGCCCCTCAACATGCGACAGCTCATGCACGGCGGGTACGGCAACGGTAGGACCAACTACCGCGACCGCCGCGCGATCCGACCGACCAAATGGCTCGTGGTTGTGATCGCCGACTTGGTGCGGTCCAAAATGCAAGCGGACGCGGTTCCGTCGGCAAATCCGAGCCGCATCTTTGTCGAACACATTTACGACCACATGACATTGCACTTTGGGTCAAGGTGGAACATTGAAAATACTGATATATTCATATATATTAGTGAATAGGGATATATATATTTGTTGGTAGGTCTCCATGATTGAAAGTGATGCCGCTGGCGTCATCGTCGTCATCGTGTCCACCTGACATATATGTCCATCATGTTTTTTGTAGAGATTGCATCGTGTTTGTGGGGGTTGATTATTTACATACGCAGTGTGTCCCATAATGGTGTTTTCACAATATTTTTTTTTTAATTTTTTAGATATATATTTTTGATTTTTTTTTCGGGCCTTGTAGATATTTTTGCGGAGATTGCATCGTATGTGATGTATTTTTGAAAAATATTTATGTCGAGCATGTAGATGGGAAGCGGAAAAAACGATCCACGATATATTTGTCAACACGCGGTCACTCGTGGCCACCCATCCTCGGATCCTGTTGTTTTCACAGTTGTGTGGTATGGGTGCGTCCGGCGAAGACAAAATCTATGGGTCCCCCCAAGCGTTTGCGTTTGTGACGATGGTGCTGCACTGCGGCCACCACCGGTTTCCAATTCTACACGTAAGTATATACACATATATATATATGTACAGCGTACTTGTGAATATATATATTTCATTCCTCGTAGGACAGAATCGTTAAGTGATAATATTATTTTGTAGCCCAACGCTGGTGACTCGAGTGATTACTGTCGCCACGACGACGCACTGGCCATCATCGATGTATTCTTTTCGTCGGTGCGACACTTCTCTCAATCAAAATGGAGCTTGTGCTGCGGGATATATATATACTACTACTACTATGTAGTAGTATATATTATTTGAATTCTCCTCGTCCCCACATTATTCCTCCCACACAATAATACATATTCTCCTCAAGACATTATGTTTGCTCACAAAGTAAATCAAAAACTATGACACCTGAATGCTGTAGACGGGGAGCGAGAAAAAAGAGCGCATGGTGAGTCGATTGCGTGAACTCGAGCGCCAAAGCCCCAAGCCCAAAACATCCGACGCCGACATGTATATAAATAATATTAAACAATTCGTTGCACACCAAGTGGCTTGACGACCAACATAATAGGTTGCTGCTGCTGTTGCTGGAAGAATGGCGGCACTACATGCTGGACCGCATGAACCAGATCAAAGTCGTGTGCTGCTCCGACTCAAACTTGATGGCTATCGAAGGCTACTTGAGCCTGGACAACGTCATCGCCATCTTTCGGCGCACGGGTATCGACATCTCCGAGCTCGAAGTCGCCCAAGTGTTTCGGCAGGTCGTGCAGTCCAACTACTCGAGTTTGTCGTTGATGGAACGTCTCGTCAAGTTTGTATTTCCGATCCTTTGTCATGGTAAGCGGGGGGTCTTCTAATTTATTATTTCGACGAGCTTAAAATCGAACTTTGGACGATATATATATATATATATCACGTGGACAACAGAAATCACAGCGACCGAGGTCCATGACGTGGCAACGCCGCACACGAACGACCAAATTTACCTGCTCGTACGTCCATCCCCCCTATCCCTCCCTTGAACGCTACAACAATCCATTCGACTTTGTGGAATTTTTGCTATATATATATATATTGATGATTTCATTCCGTTTGAAGTTTGAAAATATGCCAGAATACTATCGTTATGATTTCATTATTCCCATGTTTGGCATCCTTTGCCTTGAACGCAGACCATCCGACTAGGTGCTATAGAAGAACTTGTAATTTTTCATTATACTGGTAGTACCCATCTTGAACATTGTAGAAATAATGAGACAGGCTCGGACTTGTGCCTTTGTCATGTTATCTACTACATGCGTAAAAACACACACAAGGATTGGCTGGTGGTGGTGGTGGAGATGTACAATGAAGTCAATTACTCTTTCAAAACATGATGGGGGGCGATGTAGTTGTCCTTCTGGGAGCCGTATGAAGCCACGTGTGCACAAGTCGTGGGCGACCTGCGGGCGCTTGGAACCAAGAATGACATGGACGCGGCCATGTCCAATGTGGACGTCGACCGACGCCGCAACTCGCTCAGCCGCGCGGCGTCGGTCAACTCGAAGCTGCGCGCGGCCAACATCACAGCGGCGGATGCAGTCAAGTTTGAGGATAAGTTCAAGGCACTGAGTGACAAGATGCGATCGTTGGCAAGTCACCACGCTGCATCCATCAATAAGAATGGTACCACCATGGACATCAGCAATAGCAGCAGTAGTAGTCCTGAACGAGGTGCGTTGAGACTGTCTCTTTGTGAAATACCAGTGTGAATGAAGCCTTTTTTGCCTTGGGGGGCGCAGGGGGCGATGCCGACGATGACGACAGCGACGACGGGGGAGCTGCTGCTGCGGCTGCGATTTGGGCAGAGGACGTCGCCGAGACGGCCAAACAGTTTCGCAAGTTCCTCACCGAATGCACGAGACTGCGCGCGTTGGCCAAGATCGAAGTCGGCCCAATCCCAGACAAATGGCATGTGGATGTGGTCGCTGCGTCGACTTCATAACGAATTGATATCTCTATTAATATTAATGTAGTGGATGACTGCCAAATATCTCGCAAAACAAATTTTCTTCCGGTTGAATCTGAGACATTTTTGAAATAGAACCACGCTCGCATTTTGTGAAGACGAAAAAATCGTCTTCGCAAACATTGCATTTGCGAGCGAACCTCTCGCATCGACACTGTAAAATTTGATATGATCGAAATACATTTTCAAAGGCTTTGGCATCGTGCACAAATTTTCTCGCAATCTCACCCATCGGCGTCGGTTAAAAAAATACACGTTATCCGGACTCGCAAATTTGTTTGCGAGAGGCACTTGCGAGATATTTGGCAGTCACCCAGTGCTTGCTTTGTATTGCTTGGAAATATACACTCAAACAACCCATAAGCGATGGAGAATAGACGACACATACTTCCCAACTTTCAGGGGGATATGATATACACCCCGTACAACTAAAATCCATGCTATGGTGCACGTCATCTATAAACTACCAACTTTTCACAAAAATGTCTGACTTCTATTTCATATTCATTACTCAAAATTTCAGCAAATTGAGACGTAGAATCGACAGATCTCAATGTAATGAAGAAATTCTACGTCTCAGATTCAAATTTGGTGTTGAATTGGTCCAGAAATAGATATTTAACCTAGCGGTATTTTACATGGGATAGGGGTGGCCGCTGAGATGTATCTTGATTTTTGTATGTGACTCTTATCCGTATATAATATCCGGAGGCAGTTGGGACCTTTAACCTCCCACTGCAGTGATAAAACGCATGAAATCGGTATTTAACGTATTTTGTTTTGGGTTTAACTACATTAATTGTACGTTAAATAATAAAACCTCCACTCCTCGATTTGGCCAGTTGGAAGTTTTTAGATGACGTGCACCATACGTGTGCGTTTACGATTCGATTTATTATTATTATTATACAATACACATACCCCAACAGGCCAGGCAGCGGTGTAGTGGGGCTAGTAGCGCGCATTGTCTTTACAATCAATTGGGCGTCGGTCAGAACCGTCTCTTCGAAGCCCATGGCTTGGATCTCCCGCTTCTTGGCATCGTACAAGAGAATGATACCGTATGTATCGTGCACAGGACAAGCAAGTTGCCTATCATGACCACATCATGCTCGGATACGACCGCACATAATACCACGACTTGAAAAAATCGACGCGGATGCCGTCGACGTCGGTGGTGGACGACGACAGCGTCTCCACGTCCGAATTGCCGTGCTTAATGTACTCGGTGCGCTGTATGAGAAACACAGCGCTGACGTACACGTATGTGACAGAGCTGAAGTTAAACAAAAACCACGACTGCGTTCGAGCCATTGTATCGGGTCATGTTGGCAAAGTAGACGAGAACTTTGGCAGCTTTGACGACAAAGCAGTTGACCCATAGCCACCGGAAGTGGATCGCAGCCATTTCAATGGCGATCCACCGATTGTCTGTCGTCTTCAATGTTCCACTGGTACACGAGTCGCGAGTATGTTATCGAGTTGTTCTCATCTAGGATCACCGCCACCACGTACACAACCACAAACCAGTCGCTGTTGTTGAGACAATAGCTCGCAAACGAAAACGTGTGGCTGTGTAGCGGCGGCGCCAACGTCTGCCGCATGCGCTTCCAAAACGTGGCTATGATCGGGCCTTGAGTCCACCGCGTGGTTTTCCTGCTCGTGGCGAACCCTGTCAACACAAACTACAGCACGAGCCCCCGGGGGTACAGCGACACCTTGGTCGCGGACGACTGCTCGAGAATCGCCCCCAAGTGATCGTACTCGCCCATATACGCATTGCTCGACGTGACGATAAGGGAATTTGTTGTCAGTCCACATGATATGACGAGTTGGACATGTCCAGCCCGAGCTCCATGACAGGTTGCATCCGAAACAAACCGCCAGCGCGTAGTACCGGTACATGGAGACGTTGGCGACTACAGCTTGCCCCGCGGGGGGTGAAACACGACTCCCGTCGTCAGGAGCATGTCGACATCCAAGCGCGCAGAAACAAACCCTAGGTATGCCAGGTCTGAATGGCTGGCGTTGGTGGGAGGGGCTTGGTTGGGAGCGGTGAAGAAGGAAGTTGTCGAGGGTGTTGCCTCGCACGAGCTGCATGTCGTTGTGCACGACCGCCACTTTGATCGCGGTGACATTATTCGATCGGGGGAGAGGATATGACTGAACGAAGGTGCCACAGATGTTGTTGACTTTGCTGTGAATCCGGCTGTGGGGATGTAAAAATCTGTGGGGTCTAGGATGTAGCATGAATCCATCACGTCGTAACCATGA